CTGGATACATCATCACACTTACTCACAAAATGTACTTAAAACTGAAGATTTCTGGTCCATTATGGATACTGCCTTCCCTTACAACTCACATTCAACTTCGGTTTTGCTGATTTTAACAGTGTATTTGTGACAAGATAGTCTACGTTCTAGTTCTGTATTCAGTGCCATCAACTTGTCAGATGAAACATTAAAATTTAAGCAGGTACTGACTAGTAAGTCCCTGACATGCACTCTACCTTCTCTATAGTAATTGTACCCGTTTTCACCAACACTTATCCCATCGTTAATATTCCCACACATTATTTCTCTGAATGCATTCTCTATCAACTCAAAATCTGAAGACCGACATTTAGTCACCTAAGTAGTGATGCAAGTCTATAGTTCATATATCTACGCACATGCTGATTTCCCATAATATCACCACGTAGGTGATGCTTGCTCTAGATATAATCCTGCAGCTCAAGGCTTCAAATTGTGTTTCTCTTCTGCTTATGGTAAAATCTTCATCAACAGTGAAAATAATGTTTTTGAAAATCCAACACTTCCTGAACTCAAAATGGTCTTTAATATACCTAAGCCTTTTCACCCTCCAATTCCCTTTTGTGACATTTACAGCTTCAAATGGTATATGCATTTTCATGATACAAATGTTGTTGTTCATGTTTGCATCAGGAAAATTCCATGATTGGAACATGTGTTCAGTTGCCCATGGTTCATGAGAGTGCTAATCACGTAGCACATTACTGTAACTGCGCAAGCCTGTCCACTTCACGGAGTATCAATTTGTCAAGAAAAGACAGTTGCATATGTATATTATTATTAACATATATATTATAAGAACATAATATATTATATATAACATATATGATATTACTATTATATTATATAAAATTATTTTATATTATATATAAATATATATATTTTTCCCTTCTTTCTTTGTCTCTTTTCCCTCATCCCAGTTGTTTCTTCCCTTTGAGCAGTTTCTTTCCCTTTAACAGTATCCACTATACCCTTCAGAATTTACTTAGACTTTCAGGTTCTTACACTGCAGAGACAATAGCGTGCTTACCCATGTGGGTCTGATTTATTTTGGTAATGAATATATACTCTGCTTGCACCCATTTACCTATGATAGCCTCCAGTTAATCTTTCTTTATACTTGAGTAATATTCCATTATGTAAGAATATCACGTCTTTTTTATCCATCTCTCTGTTGATGAGCATTTGAGCTGCTGCCGTTCTATAAAAATACCACAATTGTTTTATCCATTCCTGTGTTGATGGGCGTTTGGGTTGCTTTTATTCTGTACAAATACCACATATTTTTATCCATACCTTAGTTAATGGGAACCTGGGTTGTTTCCAGGGCTTAGCTATGACGAATCGTGCCGCTATAAGCATGGGTGCCTATGTGCCACTGTGGTATGACACTTTCACTCCATGCCATTTCTTTCTTTCTTGTTACCACGGGTGTGCAACACACGCTCTTCACAGTCCTTGTGTGGAGTTTGCACGAGTAAATCTTAATTGCTTTTTACCTCCTCTTCCCCCGTGCTCCCTGCTTTCTTTGATGTATCCCATTATTGTTCCGGAAGGTTAATGAAACAACATGGGTCTGCAGATAACAATGAAAACCTCAGCTTCTCTCACAACATTAATATCTTTTAGTCATATTTGACAGTGGACCCAGGTTAGAGGTAAAAAGTTTTGTTGCTTCCATTGAGGTAGATTTCACAAGCTTGCTATAAAACATAGCTTTTACAAAATGTCCCGGAGTTGGTAAACAATGTTAAGTAGATTTTATAGATGACTGTAAGACCTAAGGTGAAGTTCATAAATTCTGAAGGGCACATTCATTCACCCATACATCATCTGTGCATTGTTAGCTGCCATGACAACAGCATGTCAACATCCTGTGATTGACACAGAAAAGTTCCCATCAGAAATGCCAGTGGTTCTCTTCTCTATTTTCCTCAAATCCAGCTATTAAAATCTTTGTTTCTCAACATTCATGGAAGAAGAAAGGGGGGCAAAAAGTCCAGTCAGGTTGAGCAAAACTGTATTCTTTAGCCAAACAGGTAGAAGCATACAAAATGTAATGTTAACACAGATTTGGATCTAAAACAGAAAAGTGAGAGTTGCTCTGGATTGTTGTCATGTGCAGTGTATATTCCGTGATAAGTTTTGTTACATTAGATTTTATATTTGGAGACAAATAAAAACTATAAAGACTCAAAGGACAAATGTATAGTTTAATGAACACAGACAAATAACAACTTAGACTCTCATATCAAATGGATCTGGACAAGTAATAGTAAGAAATGTGCACATGCACACACACACACACACACACACACACTCCAGTGCCCTTGCTCAGATCACTCTAACCTTGCTGCACGTAGCTGGATTTGCATGAAGGTTTATGTCTGTGTCAAGGTCACTGACTCCTACAAATCCTCGAGCTTTCATGGTCATTTTAACGTGGTGGAAATGCCAGCACTTATATCGTGCCAGATCCAGTAGCAAAGTTGGACGAAGACACTTGGTTAGCTTGTTGTGGGCCTCCCTTTCTGTTGAGTGGTGCTTGGAGGCAGATTTCACTTTAATTTTGATCATATTTCAGAAGGACAAACACAAGTTCAGGAACTGCTTCACAAACTGGTAAAAACAATGGCACAAGCGTACCTGAATGCAGGGTTGCAAGTAGCGGAGGCATTCTCAGATATGTGAGGTTTACTCTCACTTTTCTTTAAAACTTAAATATTCACAACATTGTTTGCTCAAACTGCCTGCATTGCACAGGAATTAGCAGTTGTTCCCTTTCAATGTGTGCAAACTTCCTCTGAGTTATTCATATCTCAGTGAGATACAGGGAAGCACAGTGCTCAGTTCAGACATCGGCCGTGTGAGGTCAAGTCACGTACTGAGGAATAATCCATCCAGCTGATTTGATAACTGGATCCCCTATTCTTCCAACTCTTCATCATGTTTAATATATATTTTTTACAGTTCACATGACCTTCACATTCATTGAATTTAAAATTGTGTGAATCATTCTTATCATGACTATTCTGGGTTTTTCTAATCCAGTTTGAGTAGTTCTGGATAAATTAAGTGGGTAGCAAAAAAAAAATTGTGGTCAATACCAGAATAGAGATTCATAATCGATATAAGAAAACAATTGGTAGTTTCAACTTTTTTTTCACTTTCTTTGATTATTACTTTAATTTGCTTTACTTTCTATTTCATTTACTTTTGGGCATACTGAGATTTGAACTCCAGGCTTTATCACCAGCACATGCTATCTTTTATTTTACGTCTGGGTCTCATTCAGTCACCAAGTGGCCAGGCTGGGCTTGAATCTGTGATCCTCCTGCCTCAGTCTCCCCAGAAGACTGTTATTATCAGCGTGAACCATCAAGCACAGCTTGCAGTGATTACTTACATATAACCAGACTCTTGTGAGATGTGTAGGTACCGGCAATTCAAAGCACAGATGCTGTCTTCTCATTTGGCCAAACCAAAGGGTGCCATATTTATTTTTCAACAGTGGGTGCAAGTACACTCCCCTTTAGCTAGAAAGAGCCACATAGGAGCTATGGATATGTGTTTTGTGATTCATCTTCTGTATTAGTAACTGGGATGTAAGAGAAAATGACACAAATGTCCTTGAAATATTTCCTATGATTTGTGTTCTCTTTCAGATACTGAAAGGTCACATGTCCAGGCCAACTTAAACTTCTCCTCACACTAATCTCATTAGGAGAAGAATAGAAAATTATATAAAGTCCACCACTGCCAACCTGGAAATGTTAAGGCTGAAGCTTGTGGGATGAACAAGTGGGTCATTATGCATCTTCCCGGAGGAGCAGTGCTATAAAAGAGGCGTCAGCTCAGACTCCCCTCAGCGTCTCTCCTCCTCTGGTCTTCTCCTGAAGAGGAAAAGCAGCTCCAACAAGATGCAGCTTCTCCTGCTCGCTTTCGCCATTGGTCTCATTTCTGCACATGACCATATCGACCCTTCGGAGGTAAAGCAGATAAGCTGGTCTTCACTGAGGTCGTGTGTGTGTGTTTGTGTGTGTGTGTGTGTGTGTGTGTGTGTGTTCCTATGTATGTGTACCCCTGTCATTACTGTCTATCATTGATTCTGACTTTTGATTTTCTAAACATCTTTTTCCATGTATGTCTGTATTCCTGAGAGAACGTCATGGTTTTCCAAATCTCTATCTTTGCTACCAGAATAGTCTCTGTATGCAAAACCTAAAACACTAAAGTGAAGGTTTAAGTGTTTATGGTATTTTTATTTGTTTGTTTGGTTTTGGTTTCTTTTTTTGTTTGTTTGGTTTTCTTTTTCCGGTACCAGGGATCAAATTCACAACCTTGCCCTTGCGGGGCAGGCACTATGCTAGTGAGCTAAATGCCCAGCCCCCGTTTACACTGTTTGAATGCACAGCTGTTGCTACTTTAGGATCTCTAAAAGTCTTGCATTTTGTGTGACTGAATCATTACTATGAGGCCTTACATGATTTTCCTCTCAGGGCTCAGAAGCAAGCAGTAGGGTCAGATTTCTATTTCTCTGTGGAGGTGATGTATGGCGTGTCCAGTGGGTCTTAAGGAGGCAAGAATAAAGAAATCACTAAATTTTCTGGTGTGATCTCTCCTGTATAGGTCAGTGGTGACTGGCACACCATTTCCCTAGCAGCTGACAATTTCGAAAAGATTGATGGGAATGGCCCGCTGCAGATCTATCTCCGACATCTAGAATGCAAGGAGGAATGCAAGAAGCTCGCTCTCAGGTTTTATGCCAAGTAAGCAAAACTTATCCAATCTGAAGGACCCATCCATCCAACTACTGCCATGAGGTCTGCAGTCTAATGTGAAAGTGTCCAATATGACAGTCAAATGGGAGCTCTAGTTTTGAGATATCAGTGTGACATCGTGTTCCCCAGATCTCGATACCATAGGAGATATAGATCATCACACTGGTAGAAACATATTGACATAGCAACACAATGGATGGTTGAATGGCTGGATGGGGTATATATGTCTATATGCTTCTACCACCATTATCATCTATCACTGTTGAAATCATATTGACTGATTGTCCCCTGAATTAGCAGAAATTGACAAGTACCTTGGTGCATAAGGACTTCAGCCCCAATATTTGCAGCAGGCCCAGTGACCACAGCTCACGTACTGAAAACGTGTGGAAAACACTTTTTATTTTTAAATTTTATTTTTATTTATTTATTTATTTATTTATTTTGGTTTTTCTCCGGTACGGGGAACCGAACTCACGACCTAGCGCTTGCTAGGCAGGCGCGTTTGCCACTGAGCTAAATCCCCAGCCCCGGGAATCTCTTCTTAAATAGTGACACAGATTCATGTGAAATACAGCTGCAATCCTCCCTGTGATGGGAGATTGTGTACACCCGCACGCCCCCAGAAGGTACATGTCGAGGTTTGCAGACCTCTCTGCCTGAAGCAGTTGGGGTGACAGTTAAGGGAATGTAAGGGGTATGAGACAGTGTTGCTGGTAGGAAATTCGCACAGCCCAGGAAAAGCAGTTTGGACACCAAGGTTTATCTAACCCGACAGCCCACACCCACCAGAATTGGCCATGTTCGAATAGTGAAGCTCTGTTATAACAGATACATTACGTAAGTGGAACACTGACACATTATTTTAGTATCAGCACCCCTGTTGTCGTACAAGTCCCATAATTCCTCAGGAGGTGGACGTGGAGGGTGTTGAATAAGCCGTGTTTTGTGGATCTGTCTTTCAGAGCGAACGGACAATGCCAAGAGTTCAACAGGGTGGGAGTACTAGATGAAGAGAAAGGCGTTTACGTCGCGGAATGTGAGTACTTGAGGCAGTAGGATGACCCCATGGCTCCAGCCCCGCGGTGCAGGCAAACTCCTGCTACAGCTTGGTCCCACTGATCTGAAGCTGGGACTCCAGAACACTTTCTGGTATTAAATCCTAGAGCAACTTTTGCAAAAGCTATAGAAACTTCTAAGAATTCATTGCAACCTAGGATCCATTCCATGTCACCTAAATACGTGCGTGGGATATCTGGATCCATGGCAAGGGTGGGAGGTTCACAGAAAGTGTGTGAGGTGTGATGGGCAAATGTGGTATGTTCAGTTTTAAAAGTCCTTCACCTAAGCAGATATATTGCTGTGAGTCCCCCTCAAAATCCTGCCCTCAGACGAGCACACTAATCCCATCCTTCGTGCCAGCAGTCAGCACATTTTTGACCGAAACGTTTAAGGAGAGCGAGGAAAGAAAACTCTAGAACTGCTTCAGAAATTGGCAAGAACAATGGGATGAGTGTGTCCAAGCGAAGGGGAGCCTTCGAAGGGGGATTCAGGACAATGAGATTTTTACCTCAATAATTTCTAAAAAACTTGATCATTCACTATAATTTTGATACCCCCTGTATTTTATATGCTCTTCAGGGGAGAAAATCTGAATAAAACTAAATCAAATGATGAAACTTTTCAAAATTTGTCGTATGCTATTAGAAAGTATGTCCACACTTTCTTTTCATTGAATAAATTTATTTATGTGTAAAATATTTTTTAATTGATAAGCCAGGTTTAAGCTATAATGTGATCACATTAAACCCCAATCTTAAGAGTAAAGATGACAGGGAGAATATCCAAAGTGAGTTGCAGATCATTTGCACTTCAGTTAAAATAGTGAGAGAAAGGATATCAACTTCTATGTCTCTGAATTAAAATAACTTCCAAAAAGTAGTCCTGGGTATAAAATTAACAGTAAGTAGTTTTTACATGGAAAGCAATGTACACTATGTTTCTCTCATCTTGGACTAAAAAATGTTTGAACTTGTACAAATGTGATGATATACCAGAATAAAGGAATTAAACTCCAACGACACAACCTACGTCCAACATTTTTCAACAATGTAATGGGCATCTCTTTACTTTATTATCTACTGCGATGAAAGTGGTGCTTTTTGAGCATATTAATATGTTACATTTCAATTTATACTCGTGGAATTACAGCAAAATTTTCGCTGGGCTTAAAGGGCAAGGGATAAAATGTCTGACACTTTATTGATTGACTTTGATTCACTGGTCAGTAAGGGGAGGCTTTTTTCACCTACCCTTTAACTCGTCATGGTAAAAAACATATGATCTATTAGGACTGACAAAATTGCTACTATTTAGGTGGTAGGATGTGAAGCAGGTCCTTCCATCACTACCTCTAGCACCTGATTCTAACATGTCGGGGAAAGTTTAGAAAACAGACAATTTTTGAAAGAGGAATTAACACTAACATGTTATGAAAAAATCATGTCAACTCAACAGGAAAAAGTTAACTATTGTGAGTTTTGAAAATGCTTTTTCAATTGTAGATGCTGGCAAAAACTTTTTCGAAATTATTGCTCAGAAAGATGATGTCCTGGCATTTTTTAACCACAACATAGATGAAGAAGGCAAGGAGACAAATGTGATTACAGTTGTTGGTAAGTATGGGTGGATTTTCTCTGTAGTATGGAAGATACGCATGTGAATTTGACCTGTATCTGCATTTGCAGATGGAGCGGTGTGTTTGTGTATTTTGTAAGTATGGGCCCCAGGGTAGAAACGTGTTTACAAACAAGATTGCAACTTTCATCTTGATGCGATTAAGGATAGTGAGTTGATTATGAAAGTAAGGATATGCATAATAGTTCTTGTCTTAATAAAATGTTTTGCATATATATACATATATATATATAATGTGGTTTTGCATATATATATTCAAAATGTACTCCAAGATAGTCCCAAAAAGAAATGCCAAATATAATTGAACTATGTCACCTAATGCAGCAAAATTTAAAACCTGGTTTCAGAACATTACTTTCCCTTAGGCCTGATTGTCTTAATTTCTACTTTAAGACCTTTACCTGGTGGGTGGGTGGGGAACTTGAATCTGCTGCTCTGTAAAAAGACAACACATCAGATTTAGGTTGTGAAACACGAAGTTCTCAGCGTGTAAATAATTCTGACTATTGATTATTTTTATGGGCAGCAATAGAAACATGAGATCCTCAGTGGTGTTAGACTTATACATATTTCAGGTAGATTCCGTGAGGCTTGGTTTAAGAAGGATGAAGAAGTGTTTCTTTTTTATTTGTTTTTCTTGCCCTCCCTGCTTAAATGACACAGATTAATAAGCTCAGACCATTCTGGCTCCACATTTGGTTAAGAGTTCAGCAAACAAGGGAACGGATGCAGAACATAGAAAGAGAAAAGTGGGAAGTTACAGGGCGCAGAGGTTCAGAGCTCTCAGACACAGCCATCTGCGTGCCCCAGGTGTGTGCAGAGATTGCATATGATTTCAGGACACTGAGACTCACAGCATGGGTGAACTTTGGTGCGCTCAGTACTCCTAGGAACTGTACACTGATGTGATGTTCACTGCTGGATGTTACCCAATGCCACTTAAGTTTTCCCGCGGGAAGGAGGGAGGGTGGGGACTGTGGGATTTCCCACATCGCTCCGGCACAGCCTGGCCCTGGGAATGCTTTAGAAAACATGCAGCGTCCTGAGCACACCTCCTCAGCTTTCCCTTCCGTGAAACGCAGGAAAAAGAGACAGTCTGACAGAGGAGGAAAAGCAGAAGCTTGTCAAGGTCGCTGAGGAAAAGGGAATTCCAAAGGAAAACATAAGACACGTTGCTGAAACAGGTAGGGACACCCGCCGGCGTAGGATGGTCTCAAAATGCATTTGGAATGCAAACGTCATCAGTATTACACTCGGTTTGGAATTATGACAGCAAACTTGAAAAAAGTGTACTTTAATTGAACTGCTACTGCGGCTGCTTAGATTTATCGATAACTCCCACCACCTTGTTTATGTCTCTCTTTGCCTTCTCTTTTCCTCCGCAGACACCTGTCCGGAGTAAAGGTGTTGCTCTCGTGAGTAGTAGCATCGTACCTGTAACATTTGATAGTCTCCACGTTTTGTTTTGTTTTGGTTATGTGATGTGTTTTATTTGCCAGAGCGCTTCTCTTCTCTTTATGTTTTTGCTTTGTTTGTTTTGTGTTCTCCTATAGGAAAACAAAGTACACATTTCCGAAAAAATAACAGGGTTTTTTATGTGGTGACGGTATGAGTACCTTTTTGGAAAATACGCTTATTTCTCCACTTTGAATTATGAGTAGACCTGATGAATCCCAGGGTGAATAGAAACTCTTAGAATCAAAATCTTTGTTAATCTTACATCTTACTCTAGAAGATATTTGTGATATAAACTTATGTATACTTGCCCATGGATTATTGATATCGATTTATATACTTTGCCGATTTCCAAAGTAATTATTGTGCAGGCTCCAGCAAAAGTGATGCACTCCTAAGAAAGCGCTTATGACAGAGTCCGAACATTCCCGGATGGACACGCATTCCTACGCAGTGGATTATACGTGATTCCTCCAGTGTTTATCAGCAAGTAAAACCTCGAGGGTTTTCTTGCCTTCTTCATCCACATTGAGGTTGAAAAGTGCTATGACTTCATCTTCGTTACAAAAGATTTTGCAAATGTTTTGATTTGGATTCAGGAAGAACAGGCTACTAATAGCTCAGCTACACTCTTAACATATTCTTGCTCTTGTTTTCTCACAGATGCTGTGGAGGCAAGGACATTTTCCACACCACCTTCTCGATGACATCCGAATCATGAATTTCATGGTCTCATCTCCTGATCTTCCAACTTAGACTTTCTTTCCAGTGAAATCATGAACTTGTGTCCTGACTTTCCTTCTCATCCCTGTCTGCTGTTTCTTGATCTTTCTGCATCTTCTTTGATTAAATAAATTGATGTCCTATGCAAACATAAACATCTTTGAAGAGATTCTCTTTGAAATTTTATAATACACAACTATTTAAAAATGTGGGTCTGCAAGAGGACAAGAGATGACTCTTACTTAGGGTAATTGCAGAGTTTTCTGGTCTGTTATACTTAGTGGGGAAAATGTCACCTACATCACCATGGATTCAGGTTTTTATGAAGTAATGCAAATTTTGTATTCCTCACCCTTTGACAATGGGTGGTAGATTTCTCTGGAAGTGTCATGGGAGGAACTTTTAGGATATAATGAAAATATTCCCCCTGAGAAAAATGATGGCAGACATTGCATTGCTAGAATTAGTTAAAAAGTCTTGTTCTTATTAACTCCCCCAAAATTGATAAAATTGCAAACCTTCACTCATGGACATGCACGTAAATCATGGAAAAAAAAAAAAGAAAAAACAAACACAAAACAACAAAAGTCTAGTGGGACCGAACCTATGCACACTGTCTACAAAATAAAATGTTGGTAAATATGAAGAGTAAAAGAAATATAAAAAGTCAAAATGTACAACTAGTTCAGTGAAAAACGATTATGAGAATGCTTAAAACCTATACTGAACTAGAGAACAAATTATACATAGGCCCAAGACAAACCTCACTCCTCAGTAACTGAGATGAAAGTTACTATCAAATTCTGCTATTGATACACCTAGATTTAATGAATGAATGAAAAACAAAACCCAGTTATACCTTGATTACAAGAAACTTCCTGGATCTCTAAGGATACATGTGTACTGAATGTAGAGAAATTGAGCAAGAAATCTCTTGCAAAGGGAAGTTGAAAAAAAGCAGTTACATGGTATTAATACCAGATGAAACAGACTTTAAAGGCCAACATCAGCAAAAGGAGACAAGCATCATGTAAAGAACCTCTCAACGTTCAATATCAAGAGAGGAATGCAATTTAAAAATGGAGAACAGTCCTTATGGACATGAAAGACAGAAAGACATTCGTCAGCCAACTGCTACAAGAAAAAAGTTCCACCTTAGTGCACTGTGGAGAATGAAATTAAACCGTGTGACAGCAGTCATACACCCTAATATTTTGAAATATTTGTTCCCTTGGGATGTTTGACATACTGTCCATACTAGGAAAATAGTCCCTCTTCAAAGGTTGCAAATCTGTATCTTGCATAGCTTTGTGGGTGTAATTGTTGAAAAACTGGCACAAATCCCTGGAAAAGAACAGGTCTTTTGGTGACAAGGTGAAGGCATTTTGCAACACTCTGAGCAGTGAGATCTCATTAACCCCGTTTGAATTCCAGAGTGAGTGACATGTCTTGCTGTTGTAAGATCATTTGTAACTCTTACATGAGACACTCTAAGCCACTTGTGTAACAGACATAAATACTTACCCATGTGTCGTAGACACCGCTATGAACTTTAGAATCTGCCAATGTATGTGCCGACAACAAGCCACAAAAATTAATGCTTGCGTTTGAAAGTGTTCCTTATAGAACCCCTAGATTTTCACACTGATGGAGTTGTGTAAAGTGTGAGGTTCACTCCGCCCTAATTCCCGGCAGTAGAATTTATCTCTCTAGTTCCATCCCTTCATGGCATGAGGAAAGGGAGTATTCTGAAGAGGAATAAACCAATTGGCTTCTTAATCTAATAATTTTTTAAATATAAATATCCCCTTCCTCCTTTCCTTTGTCCCCTCCCCATTATTCCTTCCTGTGAGCATTTTCTTTCCTTTTCACAGTACCTGTTATACCTTTTGCATCTCCTTTACTCTTTCAGTTTCTTACACTGCAGAGACAATACTATGTTTACACATAGAGGTCGGGTTTATTTCACTTATTAATGTGGTCTATGGTTGCCTCCATTTACTATAAAACCATAGAGTCTATCTTTCTTTACAGCAGAGTCATAGTCCATTGTATAAAAATACCACATCTTTTTTATTGATTCTACAGTGGGTGGGCGTTGGAGTTGTTTCTAAGATTTAGCTCTGACACATTGGCTGCTGTAACCCTGGGTGCACATGTACCTTCGGGGCACTACTGATTTCTATCATTTCATTGAGAGGAACCGTCAGCGCTTACATTTTTTCATCAGTTTTGCATGCCGGTACTTGTTAATGTGAGAAAGTACTTTGTAGATAACAGTATGCAATATAATAAGCATTGTTAATTTCCTATCAGCTTGATTTTAAATTCTGTGTTGTTCTCACTGTTGTTTTGAGTTTCTTGTCTCTTTAAAATTAAAAAAAATGAATAAATACATTTAAGTCCTCACTGTATATTTCAATCCCATCTTGTAGATGGGCTGGGTTTCACAATCACAACTGCAAGTCAAAGGACCCGCTCTGGTTCAACAAATTTCAGTGGTTTTCCTTGAGAAATCAAATTTCAAGGTTGTCTAATGTATTCAGTTAATTTTCAGAATTAGTAAAAGGCTATCTCTGATAATTTTATAAATTTGTAAACTTTAAAGATTTTTGTCAAAGGGAACATATGTCTTGGGCCCTTCCTCAATGATTCCACCATTCCAGAGCAACATATTCTTCTTTCCTGCTCCGTTACTCATGTACAAAGTTTAATTGAAAGATTTTGGTGAAAAAAGCAAAAGTGTCCACATGCTTCAGTAATTTATTCTTGGCGAGTACATATTTCAGGATTTCGTCTGCAATTAACAAGCAACGCCATATGTCAACATCTTCTGGTAATGGATGTTGCCCCATGACTGGACTCTAAGCAGGAATAGCACTTTGGCAATGGCTCTTGCAAGTTGTTAATCATCATTGGACCTGCATCTTCTACTTTGGCCTTGCAGCAGATTTCTCCTCCAGCTTCATCTCAGTGACTAGTAACTATTCTTTTCAGAAACGTGGGGATCCTCTGCCAGGAGAAACTAACAGAAGAATGCATGGTGGTGGGTATTTATGTATCAGAATTTTCTTTAAATTCTTTTATACATCTCACTTTATTATCATCTTCTAAATCCCAGCCCCAGCTTATACCACCTTACTGATCCTCTTCAACAACTGAAGACTAGAAGTGTGTCTGACAGCACTTAAGGTGGCACACTTCTTAAGTGGATTTTACCAATGAGACATGCACCATTCCTTCCATCAGTGGAGCGTATGCAATAGACACCACAAGAGCCTCCCTTACCCTGCTGAAAGTGTGTCCGTGATGTGCCCAATCTCATCTGTCAAGTGACATTTGATAAAGCATTCATCTTCCATCATAAAAGTCAATTCCTCTCTGATCTTCTTGTCTCAACCTGACACATCCAGGAGTTGTACATTTTCTACTAAGAGTGAGGAAAGTCTGCAGAGCTCCCCAGGTTCCCTCTTGGGGGGGTTGGAAGGAAATCATCCCACATGATAATAAGGATTCTGCTGTATTGCTTTGGTAACACAAATGCTGCTGCTCCTTCTTTTCGTGCCCTAGAGATGGTTGTCTCTTTTTCCTGTACGTTCTTCTGCCACTGTTGGTGAGAGGAGCTTGTGGTTAAGGTCCCTTGAACACAGAGACCTGGATACATCATCACACTTACTCACAAAATGTACTTAAAACTGAAGATTTCTGGTCCATTATGGATACTGCCTTCCCTTACAACTCACATTCAACTTCGGTTTTGCTGATTTTAACACTGTATTTGTGACAAGATAGTCTACGTTCTAGTTCTGTATTCAGTGCCATCAACTTGTCAGATGAAACATTAAAATTTAAGAAGGTACTGACTAGTAAATCCCTGGCATGCACTCTACCTTCTCTATAGTAATTGTACCCGTTTTCACAAACACTTATTCCATTGTTAATATTCCCGCACATTATTTCTCTGAATGCATTCTCTATCAACTCAAAGTCTGAAGACCGACAGTTAGTCACCTAAGTAGTGACGCAAGTCTATAGTTCCTATATCTATGTACATGCTGATTTCCCATAATATCACCACGTAGGTGATGCTTTCTCTAGATATAATGCTCCAACACAAGCCCTCAAATTGTTTTTCTCTTCTGCTTAGGCTAAAATTTTCATATAACAATGAACATAATGTTTTTGAAACTCCAACACTTGCTGAACTCAAAATGGTCTTTAATATACCTTAGCCTTTTCACACTCTAATTCTCCTTTCTTACATTTACAGCTTCAAAAGGTATACGCATTTTGATAATACAAATGTCATTGTTCATGTGTGCATCAGGAAAATTCCGTGATTGGTACATGTGTTCAGTTACCGTAACAGTGCTAGTCATGTAGGACATTGCTGTAACTGCACATGCATGTCTATTTCATACAGTGCTAATCTGTCAAGAAAAGACACTCAGGGATCTAGAAGGGGTCTAGAAAGAAGACAGCTTGGTGCAATGCGATGTCTATATATAATATAATATAATATATATATTATATTATGATTAACATGTATATATAAATAATAGCATAATTTATTATATATAACATATATATTATATATAATGTTATATATATTATAATATTATATTATGCATCAATATATATATATATTTCCCTTCTTTCTTTGTCTCTTTTCCCTCATCCCTGTTGTCCCTTCCCTTTGAGCAGTTTCTTTCCTGTTAACAGTATCCACTATACCCTTCAGAATTTACCTAGACTTTCAGGTTCTTAAACTACGGAGACAATAGTGTGCTTACCCATGTGGGTCTGATTTATTTTGGTTATGAATATATACTCTACTTGCACCCATTTACCTATGATAGCCTCCAGTTAATCTTTCTTTATACTTGAGTAATATTCCCTTATGTAAAAATATCACATCTTTTTTATCCATCTCTCTGTTGATGAGCATTTGAGTTACTGCCATTCTACAAAAATGCCACATTTGTTTTATCCATTCCTGTGTTGATGGGCATTTGGGTTGCTTTTACTCTGTACAAATACCACGTATTTTTATCCATACCTCAGTTGATGGGAACCTGGGTTGTTTCCAGTGCTTAACTATGACGAATCGTGCCGCTATAAGCATGGGTGCCCATGTGCCACTGTGGTATGACAC